AGCGCTACGGCAGCGGTGCCGTCGTCGTCGGCGCCCACGACGTCATGCTCAACCAGGTCGAGATCAAGGCGACGACGTCCAAGAACAAGTTTTACCGCCTCCAGCTGCTCTCGTACCCTGGCACGGAGCGCTACGACGTCTGGACGCGCTGGGGGCGCGTCGGCGAGGACGGCGACTGCATGCTCTTGGCCAAAGGCGCGTCGTGGGACCTCGGCATAGCGACCGCGGCCTTTGAGAAAAAGTTCAAAGACAAGACCAAGAACCTTTGGGCCAACCGTGCGAGCTTCGTGCCCAAGAAAGGCAGCTACGAGATCATCGAGTTGGATGCCAAGGCGAGCGCGGCGACCACTATGGGCATCGTGGGCAGTGACACCGCGCCGTCATCCCTGCCACTCCCCACGCAGCACCTCCTGCGCATGATCTTTGACACCAACATGTTCAAGGACGCCTTGTCGCAGATGAATCTGGACCCGGCGCGCATGCCGCTCGGCACGCTGAGCGCGTCGCAGATCGCAAAGGGCGTCGCGATCCTCGAGAGTCTCCAAGCACGCACCGGGGGTTCTATCGCCGAGCTCTCGTCCAAGTTTTACCAGCTCATTCCGCACGCGTTCAGTCGGTCGTCGATCCCGCCGCTGCTCAAGTCGCCCGACCAGATCGCTGCCAAGTTTGAGATGCTCTCGACGCTCCACGACATCGTCGTTGCCCAAGACGTCCAGAAAGCGGCGTCGGCCTCGGCGTCGGCGGCCGCGAACCCGATCGACCTCAACTACACCGAGCTCCACGCCGACATCCGCCTCGTCGACGACGCGAGCCCCGAGTACGCGACGCTGCTTACGTACATTACGCAGACGCGGGGTGGCGACGGCATGGACGTGGCGGGTATCTGGGCCGTCAAGCGGTCCACGGAGGACGCTCGGTTCGCGCCGTTCCAGGACGTCGACAACCACCGCCTGCTGTGGCACGGTACCAACGTCGCCGTCGTCGCGGCGATCCTCAAGTCGGGTCTGCGCATCATGCCGTCGTCGGGCGGTCGCGTCGGGAAGGGCATCTACCTCGCCAACATGCTCGCCAAGTCCCGCTCGTACGTCTCGCCGGCCAACTACAATGGCGAGCGTCTCGGCTGCGTCTTCCTCGTCGAGGCCGCGCTCGGTCGCATGCACGAGATCACGCACGATGACTCGTCCTTGAAGCGCGCGCCGGACGGCTTTGACTCGGTTTTGGCCAAGGGCAATGTGCACCCGGACCCGGCACACGACCAGACGCTCGACTTTGACGGACGCCCCGTCACCGTCAACTGCGGCCCACAAGTCAAGTCGGAAGCGTCGTCGTCGTTTTATCATGACGAGTACCTCGTGTACAGAGAGGAGCAGCAGCGCCTCCGGTATATTGTGACATTTAAAATGTAATTTATCGACTTGAAAGTCTTACCTTGCGCCTGGATTGCCATTCAAAAGACGACTCGAAGGGGACATATATTTTGTCTTGGGCGCCGTGAAGAGCAGAAAGATTTACATCTGAAACCTCAACTTCCTCGCTCGACGCGGAAAAAGCGTGTGCCGGTTGATGAAGACGGTCGAGGGAGGAAGCTATGGAGCATACGACGTCAGTGATCACGTTGATTTTGCCCACGCACCGGCGCATCATCAGGCGATGCGTGGCGCAGATTGCATCCACCGGCTAATTCGTCGTTTCCAACAAGCGGTTTAAAACAAGTTGTGGTTTGCCATACAACATCCTAGACTAGTGCGTTTTGAACAGGATGATCGCAACAGTCGTTTCGCCAATTTGCTCGTCAAGACTGGCGACCGCATGTCTTCACTCGGAGCATGCTTTGCAAAGATCACTTTTCAATTGTATCTGGTGTGCATGACGCAAGCGCCGCCGATGCACCGCTACTCGCTCCCGTCCTCGGGCCACCGCTTGGATCGGACCCGCGTCGACATCATGCGCGCAGCCGTGCGCGTCACGGACGACGAGTCCAAGCCATGCCGCGCCAACACGTTCTTTGTCATGAAGGTCTACGACGGCTCCGACTACCATATTATCGAGCAGAGCTGGTCGGCCTTTCGCGAACTCAAGACCAACTTGCTCTTGGCGCTCGCCAAAGGCCACAAATGCGGGAACGGACCGCTCTGCGCCCAGCTCCATGGGCACCTCAAGCACAACTTTGACCGGCCAAAGAGCGCGAATCTGCGCATGTGGCTCCAGCTGCGTCTGCGCCCGCACAAGGAGGTGGCGACAGCACTCTTTTTACAGCACTTTCAAGACCTTTTGGACACGCTTCTCGTCGTGCTGCGTCAGGACACGAACGACTGCGCTGCCTTTGCAGCTCTGCGCGCGGTGTTTGCGCGCTTCATTGCGGTACGACCGCCCACGGTGCTCGAGGCCGCGCGTTGCTCGATAGCGTCGAGTGTGCTGCATCCGATGTGTGCCTGAACGTTTGATTAATTCAACTTGATTTATTGCAAGCGAGCGGATGGCGCAGCAACACCATGCAGCGTCAAAAGGAAGGAAGATGTGTGTATCCAGTACATGGGACAGTCTCTCAAGTCGTGTAAAAGACCGCATCATACCGGTAGAATTGTACTAGTAGTCGCTTAGTTGAGTAGATTTACAGCGTGGCCGACAGAGCAGTGGACTACTAGTAGGGGTCACCGCGGCTCGAGGCGAAATGTGATCGGCTCAGACTCCATTTTTCGAGTCGGCTGAGCTGTTCAAGCCGCGGCTCGTCTCAAGCCGTTTTGGGTTGTCGGTTGTTGTTGAAGTGAGTCTATTTAGATATAATTTACACTGAACTGGATATGGTGGTGGACTATCGATTCCAAGGTGCTACGATGAGCCGGCCGCCGAGAGGCTTAGCCGAGCGCGAGACGTGGCGTGTAAACGGCACATGCCGGAACAAAGTTGTCGCGTAGCCATGCGTCGTGCCGCAGGGCGGCCATCATTTAGTTGTCGCGTAGCCATGCGTCGTGCCGCAGGGCGGCCATCATTTGGAAGAGGCACAATGCTTGAGTGTTCAGCAGCAGGTGTTGGAGGTGCAGCTTGGTCAAGAACGCGGCTCGTTGGGCGGCTGCCTCAGGCGTCACAAGGGGCGCCTCGGGGCGAAAGACTCGGTCGTTGCGGGCAAGCCAGACGGTGTGGAGCACGCACGCGCGGAGGATTGGCCACATCATGGCCACGGCGCGCCGACGGTAGCGTTGGGCTGTCACCAGCGGTTCGAAGAGGAGCGCGGAAAGCGTCGTGGGAAGTTCGAGCTCGAGGGCGTCGACGAGCGGCTGAAAGACCGCCCACAATTTTTGGGTTGTCGGTGTTGCGTCGGCATTCAACCCCGACGGCACAACAGTCGGCGCAGGCTCGAGATTTGGAGCCGAGGCACGGTGACCAACAGTGGACAACAGGCTGGCTGTGGGCTGACAACGGCGTTTACTTTTCCGAGAGTATTGTCCGCCACAAGAACGTTCCCATGCCGGACGCAAACCGAGCGGATGGGCGCAACTCGGGGTCATCGTATTAGTCGTCATGTCGAGGCCCATTTTGTTGCATTTGGTTGGTCGCAGGACCTGGTATATGTAGCGGATCTACACCTCGGAGGCCAAACTTGGTTCTGTACTCTGCTCTCTGCTCTTGTGCACACACAACTCCAGCTTGGAAGCACGATGGTCGCATGTTTCAATGTCGCCAATCGTCGCCGTCGGGTCCATGTCACTAGGAGACGTTGAGAGGATCGGACAGAAACCCTCGATCCCTCGCGAAGTGTGTGTGCCAGCCATCACGACGTGCAGCTACTTTTAGTTCAAGAAAGTGCGGTACGTCGCAACTGCTTTCGTTGCGACAACGGCGCGCGCCGTTGGCTCCCAACCGCAGAATCACAGAACCTTACGCCGATCGGCTTCGTTGCAATCGCCAGCTGGTGGCCGCTCCGCCGATTACGGTCGACGGGACTAAAGTAAGTCGGAGTAGTTTAAAACACTAGTGGCAACGACAGAGTAAATGTCTCTCTCTCCTTGCAGGCACGCGCTGTTTAATACAGTTTCGATCGGATTATGGAGATCCCAATTGACACAAACAGTGCCGAGTTCAAGTGCATGGCACTCTTTCTTGAGTGAACCGCAGTGATGCCGTTCGAATTACATGGATTGGTGCGTCGGATGATCCCATTTTCCATTTTGCCGCCTTGACCATGAAAGCTTCTCTAGCGACCCCCGACATCATCCGCCGCTTCCGCGCGTCGTGGGGCTCGAGCCACTCGATGGACGACGACGAGCCGAGCCCAACGCATCGCCTCGACCGGACGCGCGTCACGATCGAACGGGCCTCCGTGCGCCTCCCGAAAGACAAGAAGAAGCCCGACAGTGCGTGCATCTTCTTTGTGATTAAAGTCGACAAGGGCGACGGCTGCCACGTCATCGAGCAGAGCTGGGCGGCCTTCTCGGAGCTCAAGGAAGACCTCCTGACGGCGCTCGACGCTGGCCATGCCTGCCACGGCATTTGCCCATGGCTCTGGGAAGACCTCCACCACAACTTTGACTACCCGACCAAGAAGGTCAACCTCCGCACGTGGCTGCACCTCCGCCTCCGCCGCCGCACCAAAGACACGATTCAAGTGTTCCTCGAGCACTTTCAGGAACTCCTCGACTCGATGCTGACGGTGCTTCGCCAGCGTCACATCCACTGCCGCCAGTTCCACGACGTCTGCGCTGTCCTTGCGCGCTTCATTGATGTGCGCCCGCCGACGCTCCTTGGGTCGCCCGAGCCCCGCTCGTACCACAGCGCCACCATGTCGAGCACGGGCTGCGTCGAGTGCTAAGTAGTAGCTAGTCCGTTAGATAGCGATAGGTTAGTCATATTTATTCCTTCAACACGAGATTTTGCGTCTCTGTCGATTTGGTATTGCACTGTTTCCAAAATGTGGCAGAGTTTTTTAAACGATCTACAAAACCCACTCCAAAAACACACAAAATACAAGATCCACGGGCAGAGCAAGCCAGCGCAAGCCATTTCCGAATTTGTACTGTGTCAAAAGCAAACTCGCCTTGCCCACCACTGGCATGACGCACACCCAAGACAGTTATTGCCCCCGAGTCGTTCGTTTGTGCGTGCGCCACCGTCTCCAACTGAGAGCGATATATGACGGTCTGTGCATGCAATGGTCGAGTTGCTGCTGAGATGTTTAGTAACCCTTGGCCGCAATGTCGTGTTGTCTTCGGCGCATGCACTGCCACTACGTGGGTGAGATCGTTGATCGATGCGTAAAAAGTGTCGTAACAACGACCGGGATGCATCAACTTTGACGAGCCTTCTGCACTCAACGCTGTACACAATATGCAGTGACCAAACCATTGCACTGGCACTTAGTTCACACTACTGGTACATACTATCATGTATGTGAGCCAACGAGACCCCTTTCGCCGTCGACGAAGGAATAATTGTGGGACGCCGGTGCTAGCATAGAAACGAAGCGACCCAAAGCATGGTTCGAAGGTTGTTGCAACGCTTCCTTGGATCGTGTTTTAGGGCGCGATCGAATCCGGTCAGGAACGCTCCATCTGATTATCGCTGTCGACGCATCCAGCACATGTGACGAGGCCGATGACGGAGCATACTGCAAGCGGAACCATCGTGAGCGCAGTAGTAAGCGGCGCCCGTTTGTGGCCATAGACAAGGACCACCAATCCTCCCAGCACGCACGCAGACGGGTGCCGTGCATTGCAAATTTTTCCATGAAGCAGCTCAATCCCTTGTCGAGCAGTACGCCCGTGATCCACCGGTCGCGGGCGTCGTCCACATCGTCGCTGACGTCGTCGCCACCGATGGGCTGGCGTGCCCTTGACCATGTGCGCGTCGAAATCGTCCGAGCGAACGTTCTCAAAAACGTCGACAAGTCCCAGCCCCGTGAAGCCAGCGTCATCTACGTCCTCAAGATCTACGACGGCGCGTCGCACCACTTGGTGGAGCAGAGCTGGGCCGCGTTCCTTGAGCTCAAGCGCGACTTGCTGGCCGCGCTGGACCCAGGGCACGCGTGCAATGGCATGTGTCCCTGGCTCTACGAAGATCTCGTGTCCAACTTTGACATCCCCCGGCGCAACGTGTCGTTCTTCAAGTACCTTTTCATTCGCCTGCACGTGATCACTCGCCGAACGATTCGAGTGTTCTTGGAGCATTTCCAGGAGCTGTTAGACTCGCTCTTGCGGCTCCTTCACACGCGCGGCGGTCGCTGCAAGCAGCTACTTGATGTCTGCACGGTCCTCGCGAGCTTTCTGCACATACGACCACCCACGATCGCCGAGGCCCGGTCGCGCTCGTCCATTCCCTAATTCACGAGAAGACGTTATTTATAAAACCTCATAACACACTGTGGTGGATGATCGATAGTCTTGGGCGGACAAGACATTTGTGTGCTTATGACCCCAAGCGGCGCAAATCGAGAAAGCTAGAAAAAGCTTCGCATCGTCGACGCGGCTTCTCGACAACTCGCAGTAGAGGCTGGTGTGGCAACGAGAGCCTCGCCTGTTTGCTGCGTGCATTGATATTGTTAAGAACGCAACTCCACACGTTCGTTCGCCAACTCGGAAGACCTCGACGTTCGTTGGTTTTTGGGCCGTTGGATCCACCCGACGCTTGGATCCGAGTGGTTTTCACCAGCCCTCGCGGCGGTTTCCACTCACGAGGATGGTTGATTTTCCTTTCCCCAGTGGAAAGTTTTTACCACTCGATCTCACTAAGCCAGGCTCCGTAATATCAATAAATTCCGGAGCAGGTCGTGAGCTGCCCTCGTGGCCTCACTTCTTCTTTCCACTGCTCTCGGACACACTCCTCTGCGGGTGTGCGGTTCTGGTTCTTTCTCTTCTTCCTCTTTCTCTCTGCCGAGTGCTTCACTAGCCCAGCTGCTACTTTGTTAGATATGTGCATGTTTCGCAGTAGAGTCAGCCTCTTTACATTCAAGGAAAGCAGCCTCCGATGCTGGTGTCCCCGCCATTTATTACGTATTACGACCTCGTCGATGCAATCAATGCATCGACGAGGTCGTCTAGCGTTGCAACGCAGTCCGACGTGTTGCTACTTGCAGAGGTTTATGCAACATTGTCGACTCTACTACAAAGATGACCATGATGAATCAGCAGCTCGGACTGGGGTATCAAATAGTAATAGCAAGTTGCATTGGTGACGCCCATGGTGACAAGGTGCTTTGGTCGGGTGCGATCACCTGCTCGAGATGCTTGCAATGGCGCTCCTGAGCACGGCCTCGGTCCACACGTTGCCTTTTCTTTCGCACATTTTCGTTCGACCACACATCGCCTCGACGATCCGAAGCGTTCTTTTGACGCGCCACAGCGTTCTGCGACAAAACGTCACGATATCAAGCATGATCGCTTCGCGACCGCCTTGGTGAGGATGTGGCTTGTGGCGTACTAGTATATCCGATGTATGGCAGCGTCTTCGCACACATCACTTTGGATAGCGACCGCGAGTTGCCCGTCCAGCATTGATATGTCGATGCAAGACGGTCGACTATTACAGTGCTCACGCCACGTGCGTCCTGCTATGCAGCAAGAAACCTAGACAGTGCGATCTTCGTAATCGGACCTCGCAAAGTGCGACGCCGTGTTGGTCGTGGCTACAGACGGCTAAAGTGCGCTTCAGGATTGTTGACGAAAGTTGGTGGCGCCAACATCCCTGGGACATGCCGCCGCATGTCTGTGTAGGCAACCAATGCTTCATGCGAATATATCGTCCACGAATTCATTCTTTAATTTACCTTTTTGGGCGCATCAACTATGCTTGCGCCTCACATTGTGCACATCCGCCACTCGTTTGCGTCGTCGACATCGTCGTCTTCGTCCTCGTGTTCCTCGTCCTCGTCGACGTACCGCCTTGACGCGACTCGCGTCGAGATTGTCCGCGCCTCGATCCGCTTGCCGTCGGACGCCACCAAGGCCAAGCCCAGCAATGACAGTGTCATCTTTGTCATCAAGGTGCACACTGCGTCTGGCTACCACCTCGTCGAGCAGAGCTGGGCGGCGTTCACGCAGCTCAAGGAGGCGCTGCTCCTTGCACTCGACCCGGGACACGCGTGCAGCGGCGTTTGCCCGTGGCTCTGGGAAGACCTGTACCACAACTTTGAGCACCCGACGAAGAAGGTCGACCTCCGCACGTGGCTCCACATGCGTCTCCACCGGCACACCAAGCGCACGATCCAAGTGTATCTCGAGCACTTTCAGGAGCTCCTCGACTCGATGCTGCACTTGCTCCGCCAGCGCCACCTCCAGTGCCACCAGTTCCACGACGTCTGCGACGTCTTGGCCCAGTTCCTTCAAGTGCCATCGATGCTCGACACGTGCGCGTCGAGCTCACTGCACCACGGCCTCCGTTTCTAGACGCGCCTTGTTAGTTTTAGTTATTTATTGTACGCCAATGCTAGTACGTAGTCATTTGCCACCACTGGATCCTTCTTTTGACAACCGCCAGTTACGACGCCCCTCGGAATCAAACCGTGTGATGTCACCTTGATTTGAAAACGGTTGCCACATGCAAGCCTGCACACACGGGGACGGAAATACCGTGCGACGTGTAAACCGGTAAAGAATGATGTGCCATCGTAGAGGTGTACTCTTCAAAGTGTACCCTCACAGGATGGCTCTCATAGCTGCTATCATCGTTGGCATCGTCGACATGGGCGCTTGACGTGGACCGCAAGTCTCTGCCCTTGTGGCCGTTGTGATTGGTCGCGAGCGGCAGATTGTAAAGTATCTTTGTGACGCAGCCGCGTCATCGTGGTTGTCGACTGCTCTCGGCAACTCACGGTCAAAAGGGTCGTTGTCACATGGATCGCGCCCTTTTTGTTCACGAAATTGCCCTTCCGACGCATGCTCTCGTTTTAAACAGCTCGTCGCTTTTATACGACACATTCTGTTTAAAACTAGATCACATTACCACATTACCTTAGATGAGTCCATTTGTGTCACGTCATCGATCTCGCCCCATTCTGCATGAGCTCGCGCCAGCAGTCGAACGCTGCAACTATAATATGTACATATGCAGGTATAGCACCTGCGCACGAGAACAAGGTGCGTCGCGCAATCCGCCAAGTCGCAGTATCTTCTTCTCAGCGTCGGATGAGCTGTCGTGGGACAGAGGTACTCATCAAGCGAATTGGGCAGTCGCCAATCATGGACTGCGCTCGGCCCATGTGGCAGCCACGCGGAAGAGGCCTGCGAAAAACGGTGGCTAGCGACACGCCAGTGGCAGCTGAGGTCCAGACGCCAATTCGCGACTGCGCACCCAAGAGACCACTACCGATCGCCATG